GAAGGAAGGAAGGAAGGAAGGAAGGAAGGAAGGAAGGAAGAGAGGGAGGGAGGGAGGGAAAATGACATTGCAATCTATAAACTATTTTTAAAAAGAAAAATGAAACCCAGATGTAGACAAATCAGTTAATCCTGAATCCTGCTTTTCAGCTGACCACCCCTTGGTTGAGCTGGGATATGCTACTTCTTCATCTGGAGGAGTGGGCATCATGGTAGACTCTGGGTCCTGAGCCTGCGAGCTGGGGCTCAGCCTTAACTAGTGCTGCCAGTAACTGGCTCCCCAATACTGGCAACCCAAATGGCTAAGCGAATGGTGTTTTATTGGAAGTTCTGATTTCCTGTTTGCAAATCATGGCCAGTAGCATGGCCTGAATTGTGGGCCATGAAAGGCTGGGCCAGAAGGGCGTTTTCTGCCTGAATGGYTTCAAAGCTTTGCTGTTAACCCAAGTGCTGAGACGCAGCCTGTAGTTCTGACCACTTGGGAGGCTGAGGTGGAGGATTGCCTGAGGCTGGAGTTGGCAATAGTGTGGTGGGTCTCCTGGTAAATGGTAGATGACGTGAAATGCTGCCAAGACCTCCAGCTTGCATGCATGCAATGCTTTTACACACACAGAAAACTCATTCTTGGAATGGTCAAGAGAGGCTGTGGACTCCCAAATGCTGGAGTTCAAACACAGCAAGGGCTCAACCAAGGGCTCATGCAGGCTGGGGTGGGGGCAGGAGGGAGGAGTGCTAGAGAATTGCTTGGGACCTGGACATGTGGGCTGGCTTTCACTGGAGAGATGACATTCACTCTTCAATCACAGTGCTCTCTTCYAGGCAGCAACCTAAACATGGAGTGTGGTCAGAGCTTCCATTTTAGGGCCCTAATTGTCAACTTTGATCCCAAAACCCCTTCATAACTCTTCTCTCAAATTACAGTGTCCTCACCATTTGAAAATAGGCAGCTCAGTGGGATCATGCTGCAAAAATGCCACTTGTACTGACCAGGAAAATAGCAGCATGTGGAGGAGGCCAAGGAGGAGGAGGCCTAGGGCCTCCTGCAGTTCAGCCAGGCCGCAGTGCAGAAAGATGGCTCCAGATGCTAAGGGTGCCCGTGGCTGCAGGACTGGGTGGGGCTTCACCTGCCTCTTGCGCAGCCCACGAGAGGTCTGCTTCTGTCATTTGGCAACTTCTCTGGATGAAGTTTATTTATTGCAAAAAAGAAAGAAGAAAAAGAAAGGTGGCATGTGCAGGACTGTATGCAGTGCCAACAGTTGAAACTGTACCCCCCCCCCCGTGGGATGGCATCAGGGGCGCCTTGGCAGGGCATGGGCTCACAATAGTGGAGCTCTCCTCATGGCCTCAGTGCCTTTCTAAAAAGGAACACAAGAGAAATTTGCTCCCCATCTGCTCCCTGCCCTATGAGGTTATAGCTAAAAAGCAGCCATCTGTCAACCAAGATGAGGGACCAAGAACCCAACCATGCCAGCACCTTGACTCCAACCTTCCAGCTTTCAGAGCTGTGAGAATTTCATGCATCTATTTGCGGCMGCCGTCTGGGAAACCCACCAGAGCAGCCTGAGTGACAGACAGGTGGGCTGGGTGGTTTTGCTGCTTTACTTAGCATTCTAACTTTAGTGTCCCCGTGCTGGTCGTTAACAACAGGTTTGAGCTGGAAATTACAGCTCCCCATATAGCTGAGAGCCTGGTTCGGTTAAAGGCCAAGAACCTTTCATGCCTGGGACAGTATTCTGGAAAGGGTGCTCCAGGACAGGGAGCTCAGAGGGGTAGGAGGAGCACTGGCCTCAGTGGGGAGGCCTCTTTCCACCTGGCGTGGCCACTTTCCAGCTCCTGGTCCTTGATAAACTCGCACAACCTCTCCATGCGACGAGGAGGCATTAGGGCCCTGGCTCTACTCTATGCCCAGGGTGCCAAGAGGCCACAAGTGTCAAAGGAGACACGATATGTAAACTGTGAAGGGCTGTACTAAGAGGGCAATAGTGTTCTATAGCCTGAGGCTTACGTTTAGCAATGTTTATTAGAAGGATAAGCTACTGTGGTCTTCTGAAAAAGAGAGGAAAGGAAGAAAGGGATGGAGAGAGGAAGAAGGGGAGGAAGGAGTGAGGGGAGGAGAGAAATGATATTCTCCACTGAGTTTCAGTGCCCTCACTGAGCCCTTCTCTGGAGTGTTCTAGAACCAGCACTCCTGACCACCCATGGAAGCCCCTGCTGGGAGCCAGCCGTCTGRCCTCTTCACTGCGATTGTGGACAATATAATACATGCTAGACTCCAGCCCTTCCTCAGAGTGGAGCCTTCACCATTGCTCAGGACTATCCCTGCTTGCAGGGACATACCGTCTGGCTCTGGCCTTGACTTTTGCCCCCAATTGAGATGAACTCCCAGACCTCTTGGCCTCTGACCAAGCAATGTCTCTGGGTGCCACCCCTGTGCCTCCTACCTGTGCCATGTGCAGGGCTCAGGAGGTACCATGGGATGGCAGTCGAAGGCCTCAGGCTGTGGAGAGAGCTCCCCTCTTGCTGCTCAGGAGCACTGTGTCCCGGGCAGGCCTTGCAGTGTTTCTTGCCTAGTTTCCCTCATGGCTAAAGAAGGCTGCCTTAGCTGGTTTCCAGGAGACACCTGAGATGAGAAGGAGCTTGGCATGTAGTGGGCATGGCACACAGAGCCCCGGGATCACCGGCTGTTGAGAGTGGGGCACAGGAAGAGCCCCTGCAAGGCAGGAGAGGTCTTCAGCGTTCCCCATTGGGCCCAGGGGTTCA